ACTTCGGTCCGCCCCGAAGTTTGTCGGGAAATCGCTCTCCCTCGGCGGTCGACTCCGTTAGCCCCCCGATGCAATGGCCGACGAGCTCGCCGGAGTCCACCCCCTCAGCCAGTACACGCAATGTCACATATATTACATTGCGCAACGCGCAATATACAATTGCACAACGCGCAATTGCGTCCCGTCGGCAGTTCCGATCTCAGCAGTTCTTCACTATCCCACTCGAATGTTCGCACGGTGCGGCCCGCTGCTGCATCACACCCGGGGGGAAACGGAACGCGTGTCTGTCGGCCACTCAAACTCCAGTATTAATGTTTTCACTGATCCCGGTCCTGGTGCGCACTTCCATTTCTCCTAATCACTTGATTATCAATTTTTTTATCACCTCTAATCTCCCACTTAATGGATACAATCAATTCCACACTGTTGGTAATATCACTATAAACTTGCTTGGGGCAGCACAGCCCGTCCGTGTTGCGCTCGCGGCTTCTCTGCCTATACTGCTCAACCGTCACATGCCTCGCCCGTCTACCCCCCGATTTGACCGTTGGTGGCAGCGGCGGCGGCGGCGGCGTTACTACGCTGATCGATTTAGTGCTTCTTTTAATTAGAATTAGTAATCAATTTTGATTGTTACTATGCAGAAACGTTCTTCGTTTCAATATATATATATATATATATATATATATATATATATATATATATATATATATATATATATATATACTGACGAAACCTCCCTTCTACAACAAATCCCACGCAATTGCCCGTTGGGGGGGGGATGGGTTCGCAGATATCGTGCTCTTGCGAGCTAATAATATAACAAGGCAGTGGGAACTTTTGGGGTGTTGAGAGGCAATTCAAGAATAAGAACAAATAAATCAGTTAAACTATGTTTAATGGCTTCAAAACCCACTTCGTCTCATACAAAAATCACACCAAATCCAAAAAACACATAATAACCTCTGGGAATTGCCTTCGTAACTCAGCGCAACTAAATCTGTTACTATTCCTATTTAAATTAAACATGAACCCAAAATGTACAATTTACCATTTCCTCACACAATGTAACACACAAAATTGTGTGCAAATGTACCATTCTCACAAATTTCGCTGTATCTGCGAACAACAAAAATGAACATGATCTATTTACAATATTTTTTGTAGGCAATAAAATGGCTAGTACTTTAAATTAAAGTCAGTTGCCTCTCGTGTGCTTAATTCCCTCGCATTCTACTTCTAACCAGTTTCCCCCGGTCGACCTGAACTTGGCCCACTTATTCCGTGGCTCACGCACTGGTTCTGTTCTTTTCCTCTGGATTCCGACGCCTGACCTTGGTGCGTACTGGCCTCTGCATCGTCGCTGCTCGCCCCAGCTTCCCTCCCACTGCTTGCCTCCCTCCCGCGTCTTCTTCCGGTCTTGTGCTACCGGCTCAGTCCTCTTCTACCTCCTACGCCCGGCTCAGTCCTCTTCGTCGTATGCCCCCGGCGCCTTTAATTACGCCCGCGTGCGAATGTTTCTCGGAACTCATTGGATAAATCGTGCGTATTTCCTTCAATACAGGTTTCTCGCTCGCTGCTGATTGCACTTTACTAGACCACAGCGCGTACTACTTCCCTAATAACGGGTAAATTCACTCCCCGCGTCGTTGTCGAAAAAAGTACTTTCTTCCAGAAAACTACAAAATTTACCGGACAGCTAACTAGGCGTCTGATGTCCAACACACCTACCTAGTAAGCGAAGCCGTTGCTGCGGCGGACAATAGCGAATGCGAGTGCAACTGGCTTTGCGAAAGGGAAAGGAAGAGAGTGACTGCTCGTGGGATCGCGTATTTATGTACGCGTCCTGCGATGTAAGGGTGGCACGGCGTCTCCTCCTCTCCGACTGATTCAGCGTCATTTCCCTCAGCTGTTTAGTGGGCACCACTGGCAACTGCCTTCTTGGCGGCGGCCGCGTCCTTTCTGAACTGCGCCGCGCTCGCTCAGCTGTTCTGCCACAGGCGTACTTACAACGTGTGAGCATGTGGGACGTACCTACTCACACGCGTTCGTCACAATATATGTGAATACATAATTAATATCATGGTATTCAATAGATATTTGCAAAGAATATACATTTTACAAGTCCATTGCGTTACCTTATGTTAAATTAGAAGTATGAAAATATGTCTGCATTCTGATGGTCGTAAATTATTAAGTCAATCACATAAAAACACAAACTTTAACCATACGAGATTACAAACAATAAAAGTCTTTTCCCTTACTTCCGTGACACGGTTTCGTGGCTAATCGCTTTGCCTTTAAATTTAACTCACTCGCGTTACGTTAAATATACAACAATTAATTTAAAAAAATGTTTTAAAATAATTATTTTTTTCCTCTTATACGCAGAGCATCAACGATGACTCTCTGACACACGTGGCTGTGAACAACGTGGAGTCGCAAGATCCAAGAGAAGGGCCCCAGGACAGTGGGAAGGGCTCGCCCAACGTGCTCCAATTGCTGTTCAGCGAAGCCCAAGGAAGCGCCCAGGGCATCACCTCGCTCCACCTGGCGGCGGCCAACGGCCTCGCGGCGTGTGCGCGCGCTCTAATACGACACGGAGCAGACGTCAACAGCGCAGATGCAGGCGGGAGGACGCCTCTACACGTAGCGGCCACTGAAGGTACGTCACGGCCTCGCGGCGTGTGCACGCGCTCTAATACGACACGGAGCAGACGTCAACAGCAAACTTTCGCTCATGAGGAAGCTTTCACGCCTATTTCTTATTACATTAAAGAAAATAATTAATTTAATGTGCTTCTTGATTAAGAAATATATGTAAGATTTTGACGATGAATTTTATACCCTATTTGTCGAAAACGAAACATAAAGCGATTATTTGTGGGTTTAGAAAGAATCGTAACTTTTTCATCTCGCACTGCTTTGGCAATGTACATATTCGACATTTATTATACTGTTAGAACTGTCTATATTTTAATATGTTAATTTATACACTAACCTGCCGGGTGATCTTTGGATGCGGGATTGCATGTTCAATAAAACACAGAATAATTTTTACGATACATTTTATTAAAATTAAACAATGATAATGACTATGATGGTCATGATAATGATTGAATTTTACAAAATTGTTACAATTCATGATTTAATTTACAAATGTTTGATTGGAATGATTACAAAAATATTAATTTTACGACTACAAGTAATATGCCATATTGGTGACTTCTAGTCTCTCAGCTTCCTTGGTTTAGCACTCTGTCCGCCTTTCAGCGGGAAAGTCGAGATGACAGGGACCCGATTAAGGGTCATTCACGACGTTCTTCCTGTGCAATGGCGCGGTGAGCGCCAACCTGTGATGGCGGCTGGGCGCCGGCTGGACCTGTGGCGCAGAGAGCGGCGGGGGAGGCGAGCACCTTTCCCGCGGTCGCTCTCTCGGTCACCCAGGCCGGGCACCGGGCGGCGACGCACGCTCAGCACCCCCTGTGGTGTCGGCGATGTCGCGTTCACACGGCAATCGGCTGTTTGATTCCCGAATCAGGTAAACGTGCAGGGCGGAGCAGAAGTTAAGATGAGCACAAGAGTTCCAAGCACGACTCTAGTGCCGAAATTAAACTGCAAGTTCATTTCCGACGTGTCAGAATCAAGTGCATATCCGAAATGCCTGAAACTTATTGTGGGGCCACACACGCGACAGAACGAAGGCTTCAATCCCCTGCTCTGTTCCATGTGTCTCACCCAGATTGCTTAAAATCAGCTGTTGGGAGCTGTGGCGAGGCGATCTTCGGACCAATGGTTCGTTTGCTCTTGCGAAAAAGAACAAAATTTCGTTATGTTTGGTGCAACGGTTTAACGTGGTACATAGGCCTCTTCGTCCTCGCGGTGGGTGGAATTCAACACATCTGGGGAACGGTTTTCACGCGACTTTCTTTGAGAATATTCCTTTTTCCAAAAGGAACGTTTGGGCGATGCGCATGCGCGCGTTACGAATTGCTGACCTGCAATTTTAAGCCGGGGGTGGGGGGTGGGGTGGGTCGAACGATCTGCCCTTAGCAAATGAGTCTATGAAAGTCGCGGTGTTTTTTGACTCTTCCCTTGCTTTTGGCGGAGGAAACATTTTTTCGAGCGCCACCATTGGGCGGGGCGGCCAGTGCCTCTGAGCTGTTTGCAACAAACACACCATCGATTTGTTGCAGGAGGGCACAGGCCGCAGTGTGTCATGAAATACCCGCCCGCGCTCCATTGATCCGGATGGAACCGGGGCGAATGGTATCGTGTTATGTATACCGTATTCCTAAGACCAGAGTCAAAAAATACGGTCACCCGTGTAAAAGTGTTCAATACACAAGGAGGAATATTTTTTCAAAATGGATTATATAATCTCGATATTATGCCTACTAATCAGTTCTCAGAAATTTAGAGGATAACTGTATACTTCATACTAGCGTATCTGGAAAGTACGCGTAATAACACTAACATTTTTTTTAATGATATCTTTAAATTTTTGGAATGAATAAATCTGAATATTTCCTTGAAACTTCCCAGATACCTCAAGTATGTAATTTTGAAGATAAATTCATCGATTTTGCAATAGAACAAATTTTAAAAAATCTTCAGTAATAGTATTTAGAACCATAATAGTTTTCTCGCCGATTTCAATTGTTACGAGATTTACATATTTTTTCAGAGATTTTGTTTTTATAGGTACCATTTTCAATGGAGAGATAAAATTTAATCATCTGCTTTAATCCGTTTTAATTACGTTTGATTTTTAAAATATTAAAATGTTTAAATGTTTCCGACTTTTCGGACTAGTCTAGCATAATATTAAAATAAGACTGTATTCAATGAATGGAGATCAGCTGATTCGGCTGAAGTCAGTGCACTTTTATAAGTGGCACTGACGATCGCTGCATATTTATACATAATGTAACGTTTCTCGTGGTGAATTAAAACCAACACAATATTTTAAACAAAGAAGGTTTATTCGTGAACAATTATACACTAAAATCTACTTGGTCTATTTACAGATATATTACACTTAATTATTTTTCTTTACACACGACTCCGTTCTCTTGATGATTTATTTACACAGTTCACTTCTTACACACTATTTGTTTATACTGTTCTCTTCTTCTACAGTATCAGCCAGTCCGATGCACTGTCCACGGTCCACTGCACTTAACCCAAATTCCCTGCACAGACCACAATTCCCCTGCGCAGACCACAATTCCTTGCGGAGACCACATTTCACTGCGCACACCAGGGTCCACTGCACTGCTGTTTACCGCGATGCCCACTTCACAGCTCAGCTTCCACTGCAGACTTCAAACTGCTGACTGCTGTTTCCCCACTGCACCACTGCTTACCGCGATGCACCCTTCTCAGCTTCCACTGCAGACTTCAGACTGCTGACTGCTGTTCAACCGCTGCACCACTCCACCGCAATGCATACTTCACAGCACAGCTTCCACTTCGGACACACTGACGGACTGACTGCTTCTCTGCTACTCACTGACGTCTTACTACCCACTGACTTCTACTCACTTCTGACTCGCGGCCGCCGGCAGCGGCGCATTTATACCTGCCCGGCGCTTGTCTCCAGGCACCCGGCACATTCTCGGCGATTCCCCGCGGCTCGCAAATAGTCCGGAACCGTCAAGTTCGGGGGGGGGGAAGGAAGGGGCGCCGGCAGATGACGCAATCCACGCGCAGCGAATTCGGCAAGTGATGCAATATTCGTAACAATAAACATGTCGCCCTTAAGAAGTCTTAAATGAAAATGAAATAAAATTCACGTGAGGGTAACGTACAATATCACATAATGGAAAATAAATTGACAAGAAATAATAATAACTACTGTATTAACACAATTAGCAATAAAGCATACAATTAGTAAAGTGCATGTTACAAATTGTGGAGTAGGCATGTCAACTAATGACTAGAATTGAAGAAAAATGAATAGAATGAAGAGATTATATTCTGTGCCACATTAGGGAAAAATGAGTATGTGGAACTAAATTGTTCCCCTACATTGGTCTCCACAGTTGTTTAAATTACTTGTACTTGAGTACTAATAATTACAGGGAACCAGACAATGAATAAATGATAAAAACGACGTTTGATTTAATAGATTGAATTACATTGATGTCAATGGAATGGGTTTAAATATGAAGCGTCAGCTAAAGCACAAAACACTAAGGACTTTGTTTGCTCAGTTACATGTGAATGAGGTAAATTAAAATTAAATTTAACAGAGTAGTTTAATGGTACTGGAGCACTTTTAACATTTGGCAAAGGTGGACATGGCAATAATTGCTTAAATGAATTTAAATTAGACTGAGTAGTGTCATTATTTAGAGAATGCAAAATTAAACAGGCCGAGAAATGAATGCAATTATCCAACGGAGGATTTGGTTGCATGTGGTTTGATTTTATAAAATCATTGTCAAATCGGTTATTTTAAACTTTGTCACATGATTCAACTGAGGAGCTCTTGTGATGAGACGTTGATGATAATTTAGCATTGTGCATTTACGCTTGTTAAAGTAATTAGTTCAGAAGTGGTTGGAACTGAAGCAATATAATTGATTGTAAGAGGGGGTTGTGAAGTAGTGACTCCTTCCTTGTGAGACATTAATCTGTGAGGAGTGGTTAGTTTATGTTTATAGTAACCAGTAACTTCACTATTGAATTTAAATTGAGGTTGTACAAAATTGCAAATAGTTTTTGAGGCATGGGACATTGAGGTGATGCCCACAACAATCCAGCCTAATTTAGTTTTCTGAAGAACATGGAAATTATCATGTCTGATCTGTTGACGAGGCATGAGAATTTTGAAAAACAAATCTTTTAATAGCATGTCGATGTATTTTGAGAATCTGAGAGTGTGATAATGGGTTAGTTCCAGCTAGAAGAATTAAAATTGTTGGAAACTTTAGAGGTTTGGGATATAATCGCACAAGGGATTGATTGACCATTTCGAGGAGACATTGGTAGGTTTAATTGTATCCAAAGTGGAGTGTGAACTTGTCATATGCTTGGAGGCAACATCTGTTATGGTGATGGGGGATTTTCCGTTGGCAAGATGAGAGCTTTGGCAGCATTCCAGGTAATACGATTTACAGTGCGGACAGTATCGAGTAAAGAGTCAAAAGTTAGATTCCAAGAATTACTATCGTTGCTTTTTTAGGCAAACATATGACCTCTGCAGAGGGGATACGAATTCGATCATACTAGAACCGACAGTAAGGCTTGGCTGGTCACTCGTGGAGGAGTCATCACGAAACTGTTGTAACCTGCGATGAGACTTACTACAAGCAGCCCACTTCGTTGCGTAGAAATCTTTATGTGACTTGGGGTTGAAGCATTTAGTGCATCTGCCACATTTTTGAATTAATTCAAATCGAACTCTTGGTGTGAGTTCTCTAAAGGAGAGGCTATCTTTAACTAGATGCTCAGAATTGCATGTAGGGCAGATAAGTGACTTGATCTTGCTGTTGCTCTAGACGGAGAAAAACTAGTTGTAGATTTAGTGTAATACTTCTGAGATTGAATAGGAACTCTCAAGACCCGAATAAAGAACTCTCAAGAAGAATAAAGAACTCTCAAGATCCGTTGATGCACTTCTAAATATTGGACAAGGGTATCGAAAGTGGGAAAATC